TCTTGATCGAAGACACAACCTCCTCAACAAGACCCCTGGATACTGGTGTTCAGTGGTCAGTCGTCACGTGAGGTCACAGACCCTGAGCTGCTTTGGGGATTAGCGTGGACGGTTACAAAGCATGGCTTGCTTCTGCAGTGTTTTAAAAATTGAGGTTGGAGAGTTGAAGGAGGAGGTCTTGCTTCTCCAGGAGGAGATTAGGAGGCTGAAGGTCCACCTCAATGGGTCTGGGAGAGAGTGTGAGGTGGCTGGAGTTGTGGGGAATGAGGCTTCTAGCAGTGAGGTGCAGTCTGTCTCTCGCTGTGAGGAGGCTGTAGGTGGGGAGGTAGCAACGGCTACCAGCAGTGAGGTGCAGCCCAGCACCTGCTACAAGTGGTGAGTGGTAACCAGTAATGGGAGGAGAATCAGAATAAGGAAAATTAAGAGCGAAGATCTGAAGGTAGGAAATTGCTTCTCTGTTCTTCAGGATGAATGTACTTCAGTGGCCAGTGAAGGTAAGGGTACTACTGCCCCTGCTAACAGAGGTAAGCGCATTCTTGTGGTTGGTGACTCTCAGGTAAGATATATTGACCGTGCTTTTTGTAATAGGAATAAGAAGATGAGAGATAGAGTGTGCTTCCCTGGAGCTGGTGTTGGGGACATAGTTAACAGGCTGGATAATATCATGTCAGGTAATGGGAACAAGCCCATTATTTGTCTCAGTGCTGGTGGAAATGATATTGGAAGGGTAGGAGAGAAGAGCTGTTAGGTAAGTACAGTCAGCTATAGATTTCATTAAGTCTAAGGGGGGGTCCCAATCATATGTAGCATCTTGCCTAGAAGGGGAGTAGGAAATGAATTGGTTGTCTACGGCATTGGTGTAAATTGCTGGCTAGACAGATACTGCAAGGAACTTGCAATCCCATTCATTGACAACTGGAAGAACTTTTATGGCAAACATGATATGTATGCAAGGGATGGGGTACAATCTCTCTGGGGCTGGGGTGGTAGCACTTGCAAACTCAATTGAGAAGGCCATTGGTGAAATGCCTATAGATTTTAAACTGATAGAAGATAGAGGTATGGGTGTGTGTGGGAAACAAGCAGGTTGCAACACTAGGGTTGGAATCAATAAATGTATAAAAGGCATTCAGCATGAAGTTATAAATAAAGACAATAGATCAGGTCAGCAAACAAAGGGGGACAGCAGAGGACAGCAAGGGACTAGCTCGCTTAAGGTTTACTATACTAATAGCAGGAGTGTAAGAAATAAGATAGATGAGCTAAGATTAATTGCAAGTGCAGGAAACATAGATATTATTGCTATAACAGAGACCTGGCTCAATCTGAAAGATAGAGAGATGCCCTCTGAATGTCACATACAAGGCTATAAATTATTCCACACTGACAGGGTCAACAGGAAGGGTGGTGGAGTAGCGATGTATGTCAGAGACAATTTAAATTGTTGTGTTAGACAAGATATAAAAGTAGAAGCGTCACCCCACTGAATCTTTTTGGGTTACAGCTTCTCGAGGGCCGAGAAAAACAAATTTTTTGGGTGTGATTTACAGGGCCCCCAAAATCTTGAAAGGGAGTGCAGTAAACTTCTATGGGACGAAATTCGTAAGGCATCACATACGAAAATGTGCTAATGGGAGATTTCAACTATAGACAGATTGACTGGAGCAATTTGACAGGAAATTTAGAGTCAGGTGACTTTCTTTTATACGATCCAGGATTGTTTTTTAAAACAGTTTTTGACAGAGCCAACTAGAGGAAAATAACCTCCTTACTTTTGGGTTTTTGCCAGTAGGGAAACACTAATTAATAATCTTGAGGTTAATGATGAGCTTGGGGAAAGTGATCACAAATCACTCAGTTTTAATATATCATGGAATTTCCCTAATAATGGCAATCAAGTATCCGTCCCTGACTTTCGCTTGGCTGATTTCACAGGACTGAAAAATTGCTTAGGTGGGCTGAACTGGAATGACCTGACTAAGGGTCAGGTAGGTGGTGATGGTTGCCGATATGATGCTTTCCAGGGCATAGTTCTAGCTGCTCAGTCAAATTATGTTCCAAAATAGGGAAATCAGATCAAACAAAAATGATCCTGTTGAGACACTTATGCAGCATATGGGAATCTTTATTCAGGAAACGTTTCTCCACACAGTGGCTTCATCAGTCCAATACAAAGAGGAAGGCGTAAGGAGAGGAGGAGTATGAGGTAATCTGTCCCTCAGCCTGGAGTCGATGTGTTCAGTCCATCAATCTTGTAGAATGTACAGCATAGGGCCGTAGATGTGGCTTATATACTGAATAAAGATTCCCATATGCTGCATAAGTGTCTCAATCTTCAACTTGTCGGCTTTTCAAACCATTCATCACACAAAAATGATCCTAAATGGATGAACAATAGATTAAAATATCTGATTGGTCAAAAGAGAGGCATATATAGGCAAATCAAAAGAGGAGAGGGGCAATTGAGAAATCGATATATTCAGTTAAAGAGAGAAATAAAAAAGGGAATTAGAAAAGCAAAAAGAGATTATGAGGTTAAAGTTGCAAGAGAATCGAAGACTAACCCAAAAGGATTCTTTCAGGTATACATAAGTAAGATCAGGGACAAGATAGGCCCACTCAAAAGTTCCTCGGGTCAGCTCACTGACAGTGATAAGGAAAATGTGTAGAATTTTTAACACATACTTCCTCTCAGTTTTTACACAGGAGGATACCAGCGATATTCCAGTAATGATGAATTATGTAGAACAGGACGATAATAAACGATTAGGGTCACAAGTGACATGGTCCTTAGGCAAATAGATAGATTAAAACCTAACAAATCCCCAGGCCCTGATGAACTGTATACAAGGGTTCTAAAGGAATGTAAAGAGGAGCTTAGCACACCTTTGGCTAATCTTTTCAACATATCACTACAAACTGGCATGGTGCCAGATAAGTGGAAAATGGCAAATGTGATACCTATTTTCAAAGCAGGTGACAGGTCCTTAGCTTCAAACTATAGACCAATAAGCCTAACCTCCATAGTGGGAAAATTTATGGAATCAATAATTGCCGAGGCAGTTCGTAGCCACCTTGAAAAGCATAAATTAATCAACGAATCTCAGCATGGTTTTACAAAGGGGCGTTCCTGCCTTACGAATTTATTAACTTTTTTCACTAAGGTATTTGAGGAGGTAGATCATAGTAATGAATATGATATTGTGTATATGGACTTCAGTAAGGCTTTTGAAAGGGTCCCACATCAGAGACTATTGAGGAAAATTAAGGCACATGGAATAGGAGAAATTTTTTCCTGGATAGAGGCATGGTTGACAAATAGGGCAGCAAGATTTTTGCACAAATGGGGAAAAAATCAGAGTGGGAAGCGTCATGAGGGGTGTTCCACAGGGGTCAGTTTTGGGGCCCCCTGCTGTTCACAATCTACATAAACGACATAGATGAGGGCATAAAGAGCGACATCGGCAAGTTTGCCGATGACACCAAATAGGCCGTCGAATTCATTCTGACGAGGACATTCGAGCACTCCAGGAAGATTTGAATAGACTGATGCAGTGGTCGAGAAGTGGCAGATGCATTTTTAATATAGACAAATGCAAAGTTCCAAATGTTGGACAGGACAATAACCATGCCACATATAAACTAAATAATGTAGATCTTAATATTACGGATTGCGAAAAAGATTTAGGAGTTCTAGTTAGCAGTAATCCGAAAACAAGACAACAGTGCATAAGTGTTCGCAATAAAGCTAATAGAATCCTTGGTTTCATATCAAGAAGCATAAATAATAGGAGTCCTCAGGTTGTTTTTCAACTCTATACATCCTTGGTTAGGCCTCATTTAGATTATGCTGCACAGTTTTGGTCACCGTATTACAGAATGGATATAAATTCTCTGGAAAATGTACAAAGGAGGATGACAAAGATGATCCCATGTATCAGAAACCTTCCCTATGAGGATAGACTAATGGCCCTGAATCTGCACTCCCTAGAAAGACGTAGAATTAGGGGGGATATGATTGAGGTGTATAAATGGAAGACAGGAATAAATAAAGGAGATGTAAATAGTGTGCTGAAAATATCTAGCCTAGACAGGACTTGCAGCAATGGTTTTAAGTTGGAAAAATTCAGATTCAGGAAGGATATAGGAAAGTACTGGTTTGGTAATAGAGTTGTGGAGTACAGTTATAGAGGCCAGAACGTTGTGTAGCTTTAAAAATAGGTTGGACAAATACATGAGTGGATGTGGGTGGGTGTGAGTTGGACCTGATAGCTTGTGCTACCAGGTCGGTTGCCGTGTTCCTCCCTTAAGTCAATGTGACCTGACCTGACTAGGTTGGGTGCATTGGCTTAAGCCGGTAGAAGACTTGGACCTGCCTCGCATGGGCCAGTAGGCCTTCTGCAGTGTTCCTTCGTTCTTATGTTCTTATGGTCCCTTTGAGAAATTACATGCACGAGGTTCACAATTAGTTTTATACATGTAATTTGGAAAAGATGCAGCTAAGGTAATTATTACTCACCAAATTTTGTTGCACCTCTGAAGCAAGTGGGACTTAAGTCACAATTGGTCACAGGAAAGTGACTCCTCCGATGCCTACACACCTCAACCACACTCACACTAAGTGGAACCTTAAATTATTTAATTATACAGCTTCTCCTCACTTACCGACATACTCGTTTACCGACAACTCGGACTTATGACAGGATCTCTGACCAGTATGCATGCCTAAATATTGTATATTAGAGTTGATTTCTTCTATTCTGTTTATTACAAAATACACTACATTAGTGTATAAACATTTAAAAAATATGCCAGAAATGTTATAAATTGTGCAAAGGCGACATTAAAACAATATCAACAATGGTTGACACAAACCCACTACCACCATAGTGTGCTCCTCACTTAGTGACAAATTCATTTACCGACATGGTCTTAGGAATGGAACTCCGTCGTTAAGTGAGGAGAGGCTGTATTTAAGAAACCAGTAATTCTGGTAAGATTATTTTTCATGTACTGTATGAATTGCACTTGACTTGACTAAAAAATGTGTTAAGGTCTATTACAATTAATATCAACACTATAAAAGCATATGGTGAACACATCAACTAAATTCTTAATATTAAAACTCATCAATTTAGACCACAGGTGGAACACACCCTAATGCTACCTAGCCAGCTAGAAATACAAAGACCAATGTAAAACTACTGTACAAAATAGGTGAGCATTACTTATCCAAGGTGTGTGGTAGGGAAGCTACTGGTGTTCTTCAATATTTTCCAATTTTACCACTCTATCATAGTGGTTTCACATATATTTTCTTCCCATGTTGCAGTGGAGGACATTGCTACATTATTTAATCATCGTCCAAGGCTGCTCCACTAAAATTTTGCCCCAATGACATCCAATTCCAGTCGACAGTTATTGTGATCAGTCTTCCTCTAAATTTCCATTATGGCGTCCTCTCTTTCCGCCAGTCTCCGCGCCTGCTGGTTCTTTTTTCACTCAGAAATTAAATTTAGATCACCAACAACACATTTTGCACATTATTTACATTACTGAAATTTATACATTATAAATTTAGGAAAATTATGTCAAATTTTCCACAATCCCCTCCTTTTCCTTTTATACATCAACGACCTTCCAAGTGTATCTCAACAACTTGTGTCTATTCTCTTTGCTGACGACACTCTAATCTCACACTAATCTACTCTCACTCAACACTATTGTTAATGAAGAACTCGCAAAAATAGCAACCTGGATGACTGTCAATAAGCTTACACTGAATATAGACAAAACCTTTTATATTATGTTTGGGCGTAGAGCAAGTGAGGTCCAATTAAAAATTATGCTTAACAACATCCTTATTGCTAAACATAATGAGGGAAAATTTCTGGTTCTACACCTTGACAGCAACCTGAAATTCAACGCCCATATCCAACACATAACAAAAGTATCCAAAACAGTTGGCATCTTTTCAAAGATATGTTACCATGTACCACAAACAGCACTACTTACGCTATACTATTTACTTATCTACCCCTACCTCACTTATGCAATTTGTGCCTGGGGTTCCACAATGACAAATAATAACAAATGACAAATCACCTAAAGGCAATAGTAATCCAACAAAAAGTTGCAGTGCGAACGATCACACAATCCACAGCCAAACAACCCCCTTCCCCACTTTTCAAAGACCTAACCCTACTCACTATACAAAACACCCACTCGTACTACTGTGCAAACTATATTTACAGAACAATCAATTCCAATATATATCCTGACCTGAAGCACTTTCTTGACAGTTGCAAAAGGACCCATGGCCACAAAAATCTCTATGACATTCCCTGTGTCAGGTTAAATCTTTTCAAAAACTCAGCGTACATAAAAGGACCCAAAATCTGGAACTCTCTACCAGAAATCTCCAGAACCACTGACTCTGCTAGCGTTTTTAAAACTACAGTTAGAAAAAAACTTTTATCCTTAACCAATCCCAGCCTGTCATAAATATGTAAAAAGCCTATATGTGCATTTGCTCAATATCATGAACATAGTTAAATCATTATAATCAATATATGCTTACTCTAAATATCTGTAATCAACTCAAATGTAATATTAATTATTCCACTGTGTCCACCACAGGTTACTAATCTAAACTGTAATTCTTCTCTACCAAATTTATTAAAGCCATATAGCATGAACTAATAGAATAACCAGTTTTCTTGTATTCATTGTAACTCACCTAATGAGCATATGTACAATTTTGCACTGTTCTTACCTTATTAATCTTAAATTAGTCTTAAGTTGGCCCAAAATGTTCTGCATATAAAGGGGCTTTTGGCATGTACACCCAATAGTTATATTCCTTTGTACAAACATGTATCATGCTGAAATAAAAATTATTATTATTATTATTATTATTATTATTATTATTATTATTATTATTATTATTATTATTAAAGTAAAATTTCACATATGAGAGAACATGTCCAATGATTCCATAACATTACAATTTGAGCAGCAGAAAGTTGTGGTCTACTGTACTGAACACTTTTTTTTTTTAGATCAATAAAGAGCCCCATTGTATATTCATAATTTTCAAGAAACAGAATGAGCTGAGCATTTTTTTTTTATTATAACACTGTTGATGCTTTGTCACAAGACATAAGTGTAGAGATTCAAGATGTATTTATGACATGTCATGAGCAGCACCAGAATTTCTGTACATGGGGGTTAGGAATGGCTATTTTGGAGGATTGCATATAAACAAGCAAAGCCATATAAATGGACTGTAATGGGACTTTGCTTGATGATGGCTTCACATCCCACAGCCGCTGATGCAACAGCACCTGGGCTGTTAGTGTAAAACATGGTTGACAGCAACCTGAAATTCAACGCCCATATCCAACACATAACAAAAGTATCCAAACAGTTGGCATCTTTTCAAAGATATGTTACCATGTACCACAAACAGCACTACTTACACTATACTATTTACTTATCTACCCTTTACTTATCTACCCTTATCTAAACTGGTTGTAAGTATAATTACCCCTGGGGGGTGTTGTGTCAGTATTTAACTGAATAACCAAATAGTGATGATGGTCTTATACTCACTTGTGTTGGGCTCAAAAGCCCACACCTTACTGCCAACTACAGGGTGATTTTGAACTCCTTGTTACACAAGAACTGCACAGTCCCCTGCAGAACAAGTAAATTCAAAACCTACCATGCTCTTGTAGTGTGAACTAAGGTGTTGACTGCACCTTTCGATAGCTATCTGGTGAATTGATTGAAGCTGAAGTGTCCTTGGCTGTCCACTCAGTCTAGGAATACACTACACTTGCACTGGTACACTATGTTCCACAATATTTGTCCTTTTCACAGTGATGTCATTACAGGAAGCTGATCACACGTCTTTGTAATTGTTCTGCTGTGTCCATTGAGACATTTATTAACAAAACAAGTGATCACTAATGTCTTTGCTATTACAGCATGACACATAAGTTGTCTTGACTTAGTCTAAAAGAAATTTCCCTGCGGCGCCTCCATCGCCCTGGCATGCCCTTGACACAAAAGAAGTGTCAATCAAGCATGTTTCCCTTGCTTGCCAAGATGAAGCAATGCAGAACGCTTGATTCTCGCTGTCTGGCCATAGGTAACAATTCATGCTATCTTAAACATGGTAATAAAGTGGGTGCAGGATTTTCCTTAATTGTCCTGCGAAGGTAATAGACTGATTTTCTCTTTTCCACACTCACTGCAAGAGTGGTCTCTTGCAAAGACGTGGGTTGTTTATGACACAGGGTCATATACTTGCAATTAAAATGTTTTTTGCAGAAGCAAAAAGCCTTCCTCTTCCTAAAGAGGGCGAAAGGGCTGACAGGGTTAAAAAGAAGCTGAAAACCCCCCCCCCGGAAAAATTTTCCTCCAAAAAGCTTTTTGTGGAAGGGAGCTACAAGATTGAAGCACTTTAAATTACTATTTTTATTAGGGGGGGCTGAGGAAATTTACAGGGGGGACGGGAACCCTTCCCTGCCCCCTTTCCCTCTAAGATGCTCCCCCTGCTTTGTGGAAAAGAATACAATATTGATTACATAATGTCTTCAGTATATCTATCACTTACATTAATTTTCTGATACTGGGTTCTGGTACAGCAAGTGTTATCATTCTGTTGAAAGGATAAAACGCAAAAAGAAATAATTTGAGATTAACATTCCTTGAATTTATCATAAAACATATTTGAAATCTTCTAAAACTACAGATGCAAGAATATTCCCATTTTCAGAACACACTACGATTTTTTTTTAACATTTCAGCCATTTCCCACAAAGGCAGGGTGACCCAAAATGGAAGAAAACCTTTCATCATCACTCACTCCATCACTATCTTGCCAGAGGTATGCCTACACTACAGTTAAAAAAAAAAATGCAACATATCAATGCTCCTCCTTCAGAGTGCAGGCACTATACTTCTCACCTCCAAGACAAGTCTGGCTAACCAGTTTCTGCAAATCCCTCCATTAATGTTATTTTGCTCACACTCCAACAGCACATCAAGTCATAAAAGCCAATCATCTCTACTTGCTCCTATATAACACACTCATGCACGCTTGCTGTTAGTCTCAGCCCCTCGTATACAAAACCTCCTTTATCCCCTCCCTCCAGCCATTCCCAGGATGACCTCTACCCAACTTTCCACTACAGATTTATATGGCCTTTAAGTCATTCTATTTTCTCCAATATCTCTAAATGTCCAAACCACCTAAACAACCCTTTCAAAAGCCCTCGGGATAATACCCTTAGAAACCCGCACTGCCTCCAGCCTTCTCCTTGTTGCAACATTCACCACTCATGCTTCACCCCCATATAAGAGCACTAGAACCACTAACTCCATACATTCCCCTTTTGCATCTACTGATAACCACACACTTCTCCTAACACACTAGCAAATACATTCTTAAATCTATCCCATAACTCTTTAACCTCATTACCTATACTCTCACTAACCTATCTTTCTTCCAACAGTTGTTTATATCTCACCCTAACTGCCTCCTCCTCTAGTTTATAAGCCTTTACCTCGAATTCTCTGCATTACCCATAATACAAAAGAATTCATATTTGGAAGTTAGGAGGAGGCGCAGGATTGCCAAAAACTGTTGTCCAGAGGGCTGAGGAAGGCTTGTTGAGGTGGTTCGGACATACAGAGAGAATGGAACGAAACAGAATGACTTCAAGTGTATAAATCTGTAGTGGAGGGAAGGCGGGGTAGGGCTGGCCTAGGAAAGGTTGGAGGGGGGGAGTAAAGGAGGTTTTGTGTGCGAGGGGGTTAGACTTTTCCCAAAAGGGATGCGTAAGCATATTTGATAGGAGTGAATGGAGACAAATGGTTTTTATAACTTGATGTGCTGTTTGGGGTGTGAGCAAAGTAACACTTATAAGGGATTCAGAGAAACCAGCATGCCGGACTTGATCCTGGAGATAGAAGTACAGTGTCTGCACTCTGAAGGAAGGGTGTGTTAATCATGCAGCTTTTTAAACTGTAAAGCACCCCTCTGGCAAGACAGGGAGGGAGTGAATGAGGATGAAAGTTTTTCTTTTTCCGGGCCCCCCTGCCTTGGTGGGAATGGGGCCGACCCCGTTTTATAAAAAAAAAATGATTTTGGTAATAAAAAAAAAAACTCTTTTTTTAAATTTTTGCTGTGCTATTCCCCTTTGTTTTCCATATACTGTAGCTAAAACCAAAAAATGACTGATATATCGGGGCCCCCTTTTTAACATGCCAACCTAAAGTATTTTTTCTACCAATACTACGGGTCACGGCCTCTATATTTTGTTTTGGAAGTTTTTTTTACCCTTTTTTTTTTTTCCCTTTTAAAATATGTATTTTTTTAAACCTTTAACCCTTTCTCAGACATAAATAAAAAAATAGTTAAATTAAAAGGGCCCCCCATTATTTTTAAAACATAGCCCCCGAAACTTTCCCCCACCAAAACCCCCCCTAACCATTTCCCCCACCAAAACATTCAGGCCCCCCACCAAAAAAATACTCTCTCACTAGGTTAAAAATTTCCCTAAAAACAAGGGCTTTACTATCCTCAATACCTTTTTTTCCTCTTCCTAGGTCCCAAACATTTGTTTAAACCCAAATTTTCTCTATTGGCACTTTTTTTTAATCAACATAACCCCTTAAAATTTATGCTTTTTATTTTCCCACTTCTCCTTCCAAAAAATGATCCTCAGTTTTTTGGGCTACCCCTTCCTTAGCTCTCCTCAGATTTTCCCTGACCTAACCCTGTTTTTTCCCCCCAAAAATAAAAACCCCCCTTTACCCCCTTCGGGCTTTGTTTTGCTTAAAAGCAGGAAAATCCAATTTTTTCCTTTTCAAAAACCCCGGGGGGCAATCACTCTTTTTGTATCTCTACATTCACCCAAAGAAACATTCAAAATCCAAGCTTTATTTTTAGTAATTTTACAGGGGGAAAGGTGGGTTACGGGCCCCATTGTCCTGGCATGTTAGTCCCCCCTCTTATGACACACATGGCGGGTGGGGGAAAGTTTTCTTTCCCACTTTCCATTGAAATAAAGGAAACAGAAAAGGGAACAAAATTTATTTAGAAAATAGAAAAAAATTCAGATAGGGGGTTTATACATTACTTGGGTTTAGTAGCATGCCCTAGGGGAAAAGTAAAATACTAAATGCACTTTTTTTCCCCTTGCTTTTTTCATGAAACAGAAAGAAAAAAAACCACCAACCCCTTACGGGTTTGTGTTTCACAAGCATCGGGCAGAGGGTTGTACCCCCCTGGGGGGTTCCTGTCCCCAAACCTAAACCTCAGTTTAAAAAAGGGCCCCAAAAATTTTGGAATCCTTCCCAAAATTTCCAGACCCCTTTTATTTGGGGGGGAGCTTCAAAAAATCGGGTAAAATAAAAAAAAAATTCCTTCCTCAAATACAGTGGGACTGTTATTTACACGGATTTTTTTGGGCCAAACTTTTTTGGCCCAAGCACTACAGCCCCACTACCCTCCCTTCCTCTTAACCCTTTCGGGGCCCCGTCCCGTAGATCAAAGGCGGTTTTACGTTAAAGGGCCCCAAAAACCGTAGATCTAGGGCCATGATCAGCTCCCCTGTTTAAAATGTGGGGGTTTACATTTGGGCCTAGATATGGAAAATCCCATTATGTGGTATGTGTGCACCACATAAAACAGATCCTGCAGCACACTGTGTATAATGAGAGAAAAAAAATGAAATCATGATTTTTCGATTAAAACAGCAACTTTGCAGTGTTTTTTCGTATGTTTTTTATAGTTGTATTTGCGATTTTCTTGGTCTCATTTGATAGAATGGAAGACATATTACAGAAATAGAGATGATTTTGATTGGTTTTAGCATTGGAAATGGCTTGAAACTGAGCTCAAAGTAGCGGAAATGTTAAATTTTTGCCGATATTCAAGAGTAAACAAACGACTTCACACGTCTAATACACATCAGCTGGTGGGTCTAATATACATTCACAAATATGGTGATGATATTTATACAATTATTACAGTATTGCATAACAGTAAATCTTCTATTTTTTGGTGTGAATAAAAATTCATTATGTGAATAAAAAATCAAAATGGAATTTATTTGTAAAGCCTCAAAACATAACTAATGAACAGAGGAAATGTTAGTTTAGTGCCAGGAATGCCTACATTGTTCATTCTGGACCCTATTTTGAAATTGGAATATTTGAACTTTGTGTTAAATTGGCCAAAATTAACAATTTCCGATCACTTTATTTTTGTAGTTGAAACAGTTGACTTGGCGATTTCTTGTGCTCAATCGATAGAATAGAAGTAATACTAGTGAAATAGCTAAGAATTTGGTTGATTGGAATAATGTAATTGGCCTAAAATGGGAGTCAAAGTCGGCAAAATCGCCGATTCGTAAATATCGCTGACACATCAAAATTCGCGAGAGCATAATTTCGTCAATTTTCCACCAAATTTCGTACTTTTTGTTTTATTACCTTCACAAAAAGATTCTCTACGATTTCATAAGAAAAAATAACAAATTTTTTTTTTTAAAATTCTTGGACACTGGTGCATGACTCCAGATTTGGGCCTTGGACCCTGAAAGGGTTAACAAACATTAGTAAACCACCACTGGAATACAACAAAGTTTCATTTAGACTCCATGACGAGGCCTCAATAAGGAATTTCACAGCAGACCTAGAGACTGTTGACTGGCTTACAGAATTCTCCAAGGCCAATGGTACTGACAATTGGACAGACATTTTTCTTAACAAATTACTTAGACTATATAACAAACATTGTCCTATAAAAACGAAACAGATTATGAATAAACGGCTCGGTTGCCCATGGCTAACAAGCAGCATTCTGAAATCCATTGACAAGAAACAGCAATATGAAAAGCAATATAGACAGAGCTTAATACACAAAGATATTCTTAAACACTATTCATCAGTTCTCACCAAAGTAATAAAGAAAGCCAAACAACTGTACTACTACAGTAGATTCACTGACACAAGAGGAGATATAAAAATGATATAAAATCACAACCTAGTATTTAGTCACTTAGTTATAATACCAACTTACTCCATAATTTGTAATAATTTAGGGTTAAGAATTAATCTAAGTCTGCCCGAAATGCCTAGCCATGCTTGGTGTCCTAGTGACCCCCCTCTGTAATTAATATTTTATTACATGTAAAGCACACAATAACCAAAATCTGTAAACTTTGCATTGTAATCCTTATACCTGGAGTTTACCTGGAGAGAGTTCCGGGGGTCAACGCCCCTGCGGCCCGGTCTGTGACCAGGCCTCCTGGTGGATCAGCCCCTGATCAACCAGGCTGTTGCTGCTGGCTGCACGCAAACCAACGTACGAGACACAGCCCGGCTGATCAGGAACTGACTTTAGGTGCTTGTCCAGTGCCAGCTTGAAGACTGCCAGGGGTCTGTTGGTAATCCCCCTTATGTGTGCTGGGAGGCAGTTGAACAGTCTCGGGCCCCTGACACTTATTGTATGGTCTCTTAACGTGCTAGCGACACCCCTGCTTTTCATTGGGGGGATGGTGCATCGTCTGCCAAGTCTTTTGCTTTCGTAGTGAGTGATTTTCGTGTGCAAGTTCAGTACTAGTCCCTCTAGGATTTTCCAGGTGTATATAATCATGTATCTCTC